AAATTTATAAGTTAAATTTATTAATAAATAAATATTATTTTATAAATTAAGTTTAAGATATAAATTTTTTGTATTTGTATTTAAAAAATTAAACTTTTAATGTATCATATTAAGATATGTTTTTAAAATTATTTAAAAAAATTAATTTCGACATAGGTGAAAATATTGTTATCATAAATACAAAAATTAGGGCTTTGTTTGGAAATTTATTTTGAAAAATTAGTGATGTAATTACTGTATCCAAATTACATAAAAAAAATAAAGATTGATTTTTTTTTTTATCTCAAATTACAAAATAAGAGAGAATTTTGTCTTATTTTACTTATATGTTATATAATTTAATATTAAAATTTTTTATTCTTAATAAAAATTTTCACTAAATTAATTAAATCACTCACAATAAAAAAAAAAGGTAATTCTAATTTTTATGACTTTTTATGTGAATTTTTATATGACTTATGTAATTTTTTATTAAGATAACTTAGTTTCGACTACATACGTTCATTTCTTTCTCTGAGAGTTTGTTTGCATAAATATTAATAATAGGAAGGAAAAGGAAAAAGGAGAACTGAAGGAAAGAAAATAATTAATATTAGTTTTATTTGGATTAAAAAGAAAGAAGAGAAGAAAAGGGAAAATATTTTTATTTAATTAAATTTTTTTTAAATAAAATAGAATAAAATAAAATATTTAAAATTTACTGATTAAAATTTTTTATTGTTATAAAATATATTTATTTTTTAAAAAATAAATATATAAAATTAATCCTTCGAATATCTCATATTTAAAGGAATTAAAAACAAAAAAAAATAAAGGAGTTGCATCTCCTTCCACATCTCTTCTTTTTTATTATTTATTTATTTTTATTTTAATTGTATAATAAGAAGTAATTATATCATATTTTTTATTTTATTTCACCCAAATATCATACGACTTAAATTTAAAATTACTTATTTTCAATAAAAAAATAATTACTAAATTATTTAAATCATTAACATCTCTTTCCTTTTATTAAAATCAATAATTCAAATACAAAAAAAGTAGACATCTTTCCCTTCTTTCACTTTCCCTTCCCCTCCAACTTTCCCAATCCAAAGTAACTTTTCCAATCTAAACTAAGGTTTAAGTCTCGCTTTTCTCAACCCCAACAACCCTTGTATTTCTCATTCTATTACTAAAACTGCCACACCGCTTTGTTTTTCGGTTACCACATGCAACGCACGTGCATCTTCCAAAGCTGCCTCTTTCCCCTTTTCTTTACTAGCATTTCTTCCAAAGCTGTTTGAAACGTTTAGTTTATAGAGGAGGAAGAAATATGTAAAATATTGTATTTTTATATTATAGTAATTTATATAAAGTTTTTTTTATATTTATTAAATTCTTTTATATTTTATATAAAATAAATATTGATTGATTTTTGTTAATGTGGAAATAATTTTCCAATATTTGTAAATTATAACAGTTTTAATTCACTTCATCTTTTTTTTTTTCAACTCCTTGTAATGCTTAATTTTTAATATGTATAGTGCATTTTTAAAGTTAAGCTTATGTATAATTTTATATATTTAAAATTTTATAATATAGGAGATGATCAAGTTTTTGTACAATTTGAAATTAAATTAAAGTGAAAAATTTTTAAATCAAAATAAAAAAATACCAACATATTAGAATACTATGTATTTCAAATTGCAATCACTACAATATCATCCAACAATTCAAGTTTAATTGCTCCAATTTTTAACCACACAAAATTTATAATTTAAAGATTAAAAAAAAAATACAATCTTATATGTTTGAGGGTTTAATCATTAATTTAATGTCATCAGTTTCTATGTATTTTTTCTTTTAATGATACGTACTATTAACATCTACCACTTACAAGCATGTGCCTTGCAAATTTATAACATGTACTATTAAAACATATAAAATTTTATGACATGTACCATTTACAAACGAAAAAACCTTACAAATTTATGACATGTACCATTTACAAACGAAAAAACCTTACAAATTTATGACATGTACCATTTACAAACGAAAAAACCTTACAAATTTATAACATGTACCATTAAAACATGTAAAATTTT